GGTCACTGCACCCGGTAGATTTCATGTTTTGGCTGGGTTGGGTCTGGCAGGTGTATGGTTAATAAACCAGGTCTAAATAGTTCTCGGCTTGGACACGCACTGACAGCAATGTTGTGGGTGGTGATATTGGCTTCAAACATGGATGAAAACAAGATCTGGTCTCCTTTTTTCATCCAGACAGTGTCAACGAGCTGACCTAGGAGATAAAAGGATAGCTACATGAGGCCATGTATACATCCTAAGAAAGGGGTTGCCAACTGCTTGGACCCCAGCCCCCCTGCCACCACCCAGCCCACCTGGCCAGTGGCTCTTTCATGTTCATTACAGCTTTTGAGAGGTTCGTTATTCAAAGGAGGATGAATGAAGGAAAGTACAGGGCTGGGGCACAATTCTATTAAACATGATAAGGAATATGCTTTGGTTCAAGAAAACCCATGATCAGGCATGGTGGTTCACGCCTGTAATCCCAGCACTTTAGGAAACCGAGGTGGGAGATCACCGGAGGTCAGGAGTTCGAGGCCATCATGACCAACATAGTGAAACCCCATCTCTACTAAAAATACAAAAATTAGCCAGGTGTGGTGGCATATGCCTGTAGTCCCAGCTACTCAAGAGGCTGAGGCCAGAGAATCCCGGGAGGTGGAGGTTGCAGTGAGCCGAGACCACACCATTGTACTCCAGCCTGGGTGACAGAGTGAGACTGTCTAAAAAATAAAAATAAAATGAGAAAACCTGATTCTTCTGCCAGGCATGGGGGTGCATGCCTGTAATCCCAGCACTTTGGGAGGCTGAGGTGGACAGATCACTTGAGGTCAGGAGTTCAAGATCAGCCTGGCTAATACGGCGAAACCTTGTGTCTGCTAAAAATACAAAAATGAACCGCACATGGTTGCATGTGCCTGTAATCCCAGCTACTAAGGAGGCTGAGGCAGGAGAATCGCTTCAACCAGGGAGGCGTAAATTGCAGTTAGACGAGATTACACCACTGCACCTCAGCCTGAGGGACAGAGCGACTCACCCTAAAAAAAAAAAAAAATTCGTAGACGACCAAGATATCTGCAGATAATGCACTGTGTCACTTTCTCTGCGCACTTTTCCTGCCTCTTGGTAGACAGCTCCTAACATCACCATGAGATCCTGGTGAAGAAGGGGTGGATACTGAGGTTGCTACAGTTTAATGGACAATTTTTCCCCCAGAGAGAGATGCTCATCTTCTGTCAGATTCCTTTGAGTGTTTTTCCAAGCCCTGCTGTGGGTGGTTTACCCTCAGGGCACTTCTCCATGAAGCCACCAGGTGACGCCATTGCTGCATAAATGAAACAAACTGACCCAACATTCGAAAATAGTGTTCTACTTTCTTTGAGCTGGGTGGAGTGGGTCAAACCTGTAATCCCAGCACTTAGGGAGGCTGAGGTGAGTAGATCACTGGAGGCCAGGAGTTCGAGACCAGCCTGGCAACATAGTGAAACCCTTTCTGTACTAAAAATACAAAAATGAGCCAGGCATAGTGATGCACACCTGTCATCGTAGCTACTCGGGAGGCTGAGACAGCAGAATTGGTTGGGAAGCAGAGGTTGCAGGGAGCCAAGATCGTGACTCTGCACTCCAGCCTGGGTAACAGAGCGAGACTCCATCTCAAAAAAAATAGTGTTCCTAAGGACTGAGAGGGGAAACTAAGGCATGCAGACTGGAGTTGGGGTGAGGCTTGGTGAGAGAATGGGTTCAAGTAACCTGTGAAGGACTCTCAGAAAGTCAGAGCAACTTAAAAATCATTTATTCTACCTCCCACTTCCACATTTTCCAGCTATAGAAACCAAAGCTGAGAGGGGGGAGATAAGTATCCTGAAAGCACCACGTTGGTGGGGAGCAGTGTTGCCAGAGAAAACACAGGACATCCAGTGAAGTGAGAGTTTCGGACTCTCAGTGTATGTCTCAAATAATGCATGAGACTTAAACTAAAACCTTATTGACTCTTTGTCTTCAAAGGTAACTGGTTATCTGTATGATGATTTGCTAAGTCTGGCAACCCTCATGAGGGTAAAGTGAAGATTAGAAAAATACTTAAATGTAATAAGCAAACATGCAAAATGGGGACAACTCTGTTCCCATTTTGCAGACAAGGGAATTGCACATTAGGGAGGTGACTTGCCCCAAGGCCACACAAGTGTCAGAGTCAGGATTTGAACCCAGTCCTGATTCCAGAGGTTTCAACTTCACTGTTGTGTCCAGGAACACCCCGCAGTCCTACTCCTGTGTGTGCATGTTCTGTCTTGAATATAACCCTCTCCCCGTCGTGTAAGTGAGCCATTCCCCTCCCTGACATTGAAGGACCCTGTCTTCAGCAGGGACCTCCTAACCCAGCAGACCCCCATGAGCCCAGATCCCTGGGACCTGGAGGCTGCCCTTATCACATTCCCTGACTCCACATCTTTGGACCCAAGTCTGACCCTCTTCAGGATCTGCAGCTGTGTTACAGGAAAGGGGACCCGATCCAGACCCCAAGGGAGGGTTCTTGGATCTCATGCAAGAAACAATTCAGCATGAGTTTGTCAAGTGAAAGCACATTTGTTTGTTTGTTTGCTTGTTTTGTTGTTTTGTTTTGTTTTGTTTTTGAGATGGAGTCTCACTCTGTTGCCCAGGCTAGATAGAGGGTAGTGGTGTGATCTTGGCTAACTACAACCTATGCCTCCCGGGTTCAAGTGATTTTCCTGCTTCAGCCGCCTGAGTAGCTGGGATCACAGGTGCATGTCACCACAGCTGGCTAATTTTTATACTTCTAGTAGAGACGGGGTTTCACCATGTTGGCCAGGCTGATCTCGAACTCTTGACCTCAGCTGATCCACCTGCCTCAGCCTCCCAAAGTGCTGGGATTACAGGTGTGAGCCACAGAGCAAGTTTATTCTTTCCTGAAAAAACAAGTATTTTAGGAAAGTGAAGATAAAATAGCTACTCCGTAGAGCAGCCCAGAGGGCGCTGGTGCCCATCTTTAGGGTCATTTCTTCATGACATGCAGAATGAGGGGTAGACTATTCATGACTCTTCTTTTGTAGATAATATAGGGAAACTTTCTGATGTTGCCATGGCATTTGTAAACTGTCATGGCACTGGTGACAATGTAGCAGTGAGGACGAGCAGGGGTCATTCTGATCGTCATCTTGGTTTTGGTGGGTTTTGGACTGGCGTCTTTACTGCAGCCTGTTTTACTGGCAAGGTCTCTGTGACCTGTATTCTGTGCTGCTTTCCTGTCTCATCCTGTGACTCAGAATGGCTTCACTGCCTGGAAATGCAGCCCAGTAGGTCTTAGCCTCCTTTTACCAGCTCCTGTTCAAGATGGAGCAGTTGTGGTTCACAGGCCTCTGGCAGCTGTGCTTCTTGGGATCTCCTGACATTCTGTCCCCTCTGTCCCCAGCTCCTGGGTTTCTCCACCATTGCTGTCTTCCTGAGCCACCTACCTCTGAGTTTCTTCATCACCAAGAAGAGGAATCACTGTCAGGTTCAGCTTTTGGGAAAAAGATGGACCTGGTAGGAAGTAGGGATGAAGACACAGGCCCTGGTGTGGGCGATGGGGAGGGCAGAGCTGAGTGGGAGCTGGTGGGTCTGGCTTTGTTCTTGTCTCTGTGAGTGACCGATTGTGCAGACCTGCCCCGCTCCTTCCCCATCACATTGGATGGCCGCTCTTCCCTCCGGTGTTCAGACCCCAGGCCCTGGGTCAGATCAATGCCGTTTTCTCCTGCACCCCATCAGTCAGTAGATTTGCGTGGATCATCTTGAAAATGCATCCAGCAAGGTCCTGGCTCACTCCTTCCTTCTGCTCCAGCCTCTCTCCAATTCCAGCCACAGGAGACCTGTGTGAGCTGAATCCATTGCTCCCTCCTCTGCTCAGACCCTCAGTGGCCCCATTTTCCTCAGTCTGAGCCAAAGGCCCCACAGTGGCCCACCTGGCCTGCCCTGAGCTGCCTCATTGCCTCCAGCCTCACCTTCCCCCCATCTCTCTCCCTTTCCCACCTACCCCCCCTTCCCCATCCTCACACCTGCCTGATGTTCACACATCTCTTCAGGAATCTGCTTTAGCTGCCCTCCGCCTGGACCACACTCACTCCAGAAGACCCTTGTCCCCTCCAGCACCCCCTGCAGTCAGGGCCACCTCCCTCACCATGGTTCAGCAAGGACACGGCCCACCCATTTCTCTCCTCCCAGCAGCTCCCTTCCTTGGCCTGTCCTGGGTTCATTTTTGCTGTTCCCCAGCACTTCCTACTTCCTAAAGGGCCCTGCAGGAAGCACCTGGCAGGGGCCAATGGCCTTACTCTCCTTAGACTAGAAGCTCCACAGCAGCACGAGCCACTCCCTGTGTCAGACTCAGTATCTAGTTAGTGCTCAACATGCAGAAGGTGCTGGACCAGTGTTCGTGAATCACAGAAGAAGGGAGGGAGGAGGGAAGGAAGGGTAGGAGAGAGGAAGGGAAGAAGGGAGAGATGGGGAGAAACGGAGGGGAGGAGTGAAAAAGAGGGATGGAAGGAAAGATAGGAAAGGGGAGGACAGATGGAAGGAAAGAGTTGAAAGAGGAAGAGAAGGAATGAGGGAGGGAAGGAAGAAAGGGAGGAGGGAGGGGAAAGAAGAGGGCAGAAAGCAAGGCAGGAGAGTGGGAGAAAGGAGTAGGGAAGAAAAGAAGGAGGGAGGGAGGGAGGGAGGGAAGGGGGATGGAGGGAAGGAAATGATTTCCTCTCTAGGCCCAGCTGTGCCAATGTCCATCTGTCACTTGGACTGTTTCTCCAGCCTCCGGCATGGCCTCCTCCGGGCACGGTGGCTCACGCCTGTAATCCCAGCACTTTGGGAGGTCGAGGCAGGTGGATCTCCTGAGGTAAGGAGTTCAAAACAAGCCTGGCCAAAATGGCAAAATGATCCTCTCTGTTAAAAAATACAAAGATTAGCTGAGCATGGTGGCAGGCACCTATATTCCCAGCTACTCTAGAACCTCAGGCAGGAGAATCATTTGAACACGAGAGGCAGAGGTTACAGTGAGTCGAGATCATGCCACTGCACTCCAACCTGGTAACAGAGCAAGACTCCATCTCAAAAAATAACAAAAAACCTTCTCCAGGCAGCTGCCTTCTGATGATGCCCCCCTCCCCAGGTGAAACGTGGGAGACCCCGAACTCCTGCCTGACCCTAAAGTGCCATGTGACCCTGCCCCCACACTACTCTGGCCACACTGATTGTCCTCTGAGTCACGCTGCTCCCTGTGCCTGGGTTTTTGCTGTTCCTTGTCTCAAACCCTCCCCTCCCTCTTTTTGCCTCCATCTCATCCTCTGCCTGCCCAGCACCCACCTCCTGGTCATTTAAGGTGTAGCTCAGGCCATAATCCCAGCACTTTAGGAGGCCAGGGCCAGAGGATCACTTCATCCCAAAAGCTTGAGGCCAACCTGGGCAACATAGTGAGACCCTCCCTAACTCCACAAAAGATGTGAAAGATGTAGCTCAGGCATTACCTACCTCCAGGTAGCCTTCCTGATGGTGCCATCCCCAGGTGGGCTCAGGGGCAGCCTCTTCTCTGGGCATCAGGAGCTGCCTCTCAGTGGTCGCAGGTCAGCTCCTGCAGGAGTCCAGGCACAGGATGACAGTGGATGGATCAGGACTTGAGGGTCAGAGATGCGGAGAGGCAGACAGCTTTGGGACGCAGTTGGCGGGATCAGTGGGATTTGCTGCAGGGTGACTGTCAGGGTGTAGGGGAGAATTCCGGACCAGCCGTGTCTTCATCTCTCTCTTCCCTCCAATCCCAGGAAAGCAAACAAAACAGAAGGACTTGCGGACCCGACTCACCAGCTCCATCCTCAGGAACTCGAGGACCATCAAGTGCCATGGCTGCGAGGGAGCCTTTCTGGACAGAGTCCTGTGCATCCGAGGTCAGGAGCTGCGCACCTTGTGGAACTCTGGCCTCCTCATCTTTATGTCGCTGGTGTCCTTCCAAGCGTCTACATTTCTGGTCATGTCACTCTAGTCTCTATGCTGAGCAGGACGGGGGAAGGAGTGTGGGGCTCAGGAGGTGAGGTAGGTGGAGCCTCACAGATCCCATTACCCTGTCCATTAAAACCCACACATTCTGGATCCTGTTCTCTCAGGGTTCCTGCTGTCTTCTGCGTGAATGAATTAATCACATCACTCCGATGAAGGTGACAGTGGCCGGTGAGGTCTGCTGTTCTGAGAGTTCCAGGCTTCCACTGATGTGGGGAGGAGGGTTCAGGTGCAGACAGGCTGCAGAGGTAGAATCCAGGGTCTGAGTGGCTTCCCTGCTGCTGGCCAGCAAATGTCCACAGCCACCCTGTCACTGACATGATCCTTGTCCTGCAATTCTGTCATTTATTTCCGATGGCTGTCAGCACACTCTTCCTAAAACACAGCTTTCAGAAGAATTTAAACATGTTGATGCATAGGCCAGGCACAGTGACTCACGCCTGCCATCCCAGCTCTTTGGAAGGCTGAGGTGCCTTGAACCCGGTTGGTGGAGACTGCAGTGAGCCGAGATTGTGCCACTTCACTCCAGCCTGGGCGATGGAGTAAGACTTTGTGTCAAAAACAAATCAAATCTAAACAAAAAAAACACAAATGGGAACAACACCTAGGGCCCTCCCATGCTGCTCTCCCCAGGAGTCCCCAGGCTCAGCCCTCATGTCTATCACCTTCACAGAGAGGCCTTTCCTGACCACCTTCACCACCGCCTGAGCACCCCTGCTCATGCTAATGCACTCTAACCTGCACCTGATTTCTCTTTACTTTTTTATTGTTGAAGACAGAGTCTTGCTCTGTTCCCCAGGCTGGATTGCAGTGATGCAATGTCGGCTCACTGCGACCTCCACCTCCCAAGTTCAAGCAATCCTCCCACCTCACCCTCCTGAGTAGCCAGGATTACAGGCAGGTGCCACCATGCCTGGGTCATTTTTTTTGTACCTTTAGTAGAGATGGCATTTCACCATGTTGGCCAGGCTGGTCTTGAACTCCTAACCTCAAGGGATCCATCCACCTCAGCCTCCCAAAGTGCTGGGATTCGAGGTGGGAGCCACCGCTCCTGGCTGTACCCGCTTTAGTTTTTATTCTTTGTAGCGCTCTCCACCTGATGTGCTGTCTGTGTTAATGGTTTGTTTATGGATCGCCTGTCTCTTTCCCCCTCATTAGAATGATGGATCCATTAAGAGAGCAGCAACTTTGTTTTGCTCGTTGGTGTGTCCCCAGAGCCTGGAACCCTGCCGGGTATATAATAACCAGGCAGTAGTTATTCATAGAATGAATGAATGAAAGGATGAATAAGTGGCCGGGTGCTGTGGCTCATACCTGTAATCCCAGCACTTTGGGATGCCGAGATGGGTGGATTGCTTGAGGTCAGGGGTTTGAGACCCTGCCTGGACAACATGGTGAAACCCCATCTCTACTAAAAATAAAAAAAGTTAGTTAGGAATGGTGATGCACACCTGTAATCCCAGCTACTGGGGAGGCTGAGGCAGGAGAATTGCCTGCACCCAGGAGGTGGAGGTTGTAGTGAGTCGAGATCATGTCACTGCACTGTCTCAAAAATAAATAAAAACAATTTTAAAAAAGAATGAATGAAAGACCAGAAGGCCTAGATAGAAGGAATAAGTTACAGTAATCAATAGTGCACAAGGGAAATTACAGTGAATGAGAATTTATTTGAATATTTCAAGATAGCTAGAAGATAAGGATTTTCATGTTCCCAAAGCAAAAGATAAATATTTGAGGTGATGACTGTCTCAGTTACCCTGATTTGATTATTACATATTGTCTACAGCTGGGGTCCCCAACCCTCCTGGCCACAGATCAGTACCAGTCTGTAGCCTGTTTTTGTTTTTTTTTTTTTTGAGACAGTCTCAGTCTGTGCAGCGGTGCGATCTCAGGTAAATGTAACCTCCACCTCCGAGGTTCAAGCAATTCTTCTGATTCAGCCTCCTGAGTAGCTGGGATTGCAGGCATGTACCACCACACCTGGCTAATTCTTGTATTTTTAGTAGAGACAGGGTTCCACCATGTTGGCCAGGCTGGTCCCAAACTTATTACTTCAGGTGATTCACCCTCCTCATTCTCCCAAAGTGCTGGGATTACAAGTGTGAGCCATTGCACCCGGGCTTCTTTTTTTGACAGGGAGTTTTGCTCTAGTTGCCCAGGCTGGAATGCAATGGCGTGATCTTGGCTCTCTGCAACCTCTGTCTCCCAGATTCAAGCAACTTTCCTGCCTCAGACTCCCAAGTAGCTGGGATTACAGGTATGAGCCACATGCCAGGCTAATTTTTGTATTTCTGGTAGAGACAGGGTGTCTCTATGTTGGTCAGTTTGGTCTCAAACTCCCAACCTCAGGTGATCCACCTGCCTCAGTCTCCCAAAATGCTGGGATTACAGGTGTGAGCCACAGTGCCTGGCTCCCTTGTTAGGAGTTGGGCAGACAGCATAGCAGGTGAGCAGCGGGTGGGCGAGGGAGGTTTCATCTGTGTTCACAGCCACTCCTTATTGCTGGCATCACCACCTGAGCTCCACTTCCTGTCAGATCGGTGGCATTGTCAGAGTCTCATAGGAGCGCAAACCCTACTGTAAATAGTACATTAGAGAGAGCTGGACAGTGAGCTGCTTATGAGAATCCAATGCCTGTTGATCTGTCACTGTCTTCCATCACCCCAGAAGGGACCATCTAGTTTCAGGAAAACAAGATCAGGGCTCCCACTGATTCTACATTACAGTGAGTTGTGTGTTTCACTATATATTACAATGTAATAATAATAGAAGTAGGCCAGGCACAGTGGCTCATGCCTGTTATTCTAGCACTTTGGGAGTCTGAGGCAGGTGGATCACCTGAGGTCGGGGGTTCAAGACCAGCCTGGCCAACATGGTGAAAGGCCATCTCTGCTAAAGGTACAAAAACTGGCATGGTGGCAGGAACCTGTCATCCCAGCTACTTGGGAGGCTGAGGCAGAATTGCTTGAACCGAGGAGCAGAGGTTGCAGTGAGCCACAATAGTAGCATTTTGGGAGGCTGAAGTGGGTGAATCACCTGAAGTCAGCAGTTCGGGACCGGCCTGGCTCACTGGTGAAACCCCGCTTGTAATAAAAATACAAAAATTAGCTGGGTGTGGTGGTAGGAGCCTATAAGCTGAGTTACTCGGGTGACTGAGGCAAAAGAATTGCTTGAACCCAGGAGGTGGAGGTTGCAGCGAGCCAAGATCATGTCCCTGCACTCCAGCCTGGGCAGTAGAGAAAGGTTCTGTTTTTTTTTTTTTTTTTTAAAAGGCAAGCCAGTTACAATGGCTTATACCTATAATCCCAGAACTTTGGGAGGCCAAGGTGGAAAGATCACTTGAGGCTAGGAGTCCCAGGTAAACTGGGCAACATAGCAGGACCCCATCTCTACAAAACATTTTTTAAAAATCAGGCACAGTGGCATGTGCCTATAGTCTCAGCTTTTCAGGAGGCTGAGTCAAGAGGATTGCTGAAGCCCAGAAGGTGGAGGCTGCAGTGAGCCATGCTTGTGCCACTGCACTCCAGCCTGGTGACAGAGTGAGACCCTGCCTCTCAAAAAAAAAAAAAAGAATTCTGAGTAGAGAAAGGTATGAATTGTAAATTCAAGCATGCCACGTCCCACATTTCCTTCAGAAGTGTTGACGCACGCCCCAAGAACTCTGCATTCATTTCCCAGCGCTGGCTTAACAAAGTACTCTAAACTGTGTGGCTTCAACCACAGAGATTTATTCTCACAGTTCTGGAGGCCAGGAGTCTGAAATCAAGGGATTTTTTTATTGTTTGTCTGTTTTTCCTGTGAAGACTGTGAAGGAGGGTCTGTCCCATGTCTCGCTCATGGATGCTCAGAGCCTCCAGAGTTCCTTGGCTTGTAGGTGGTCTTCTGTCTCTGTCTTGACATTGTCTTCCCTTTGTAGGTGTCTCTGCCCACACGTCCCCCTTTTATAAGGACACCAGGCACACAGGATTAGGATTCACCCTCATTACCTCAGCTTAGCTCGATCACATGTGAAGAGACTTTTTCCAAATAAGGTCGCATCCACAGACCCTGCGGCATAGGGCTCAGCGTCTTTCGGGGAGACACAGGACAATGCATAACGCTATAGATTTGCAAATATTTTTAGTTTGAGTTTCTGGGTTTCATTTTTTCTTTTTCACGTCAGATAGGTGATGTGATGATACCGTAACAAGTTTTGAGGAAGGCACATATCATAAAATAGCCTGATAACCCAATCGTCATGCTTAGGTTTTGGTTTTTTAATTTTAATTTTAGTTTTTCTTGAGGCAGGGTCTTGCTGCATTACTCAGGCTGGAGGGCAGTGGTGCAATCATTGCTCACTGAAGCCTTGACCTCCTGGGCTCCAGCGATCTTCCCACCTCAGCCTCCCAAAGTGCTAAAATTATAGGAATGCACCATCACCCCCAGCTGTTCCCTATTTTTTGTTTGTACGTTGTTCATTTTACTCAAAAACACACCTTTGCAGCTGGGCATGCTGGCTCATGCCTGTAATCCTCAGCACTTTGGGAGGCCAAGAAATGTGGATCGCTTGAGATCAGGAGTTTAAGACCAGCCTGGCCAACATGATGTAGCTCCTTCTCTACTGAAAATACAAAAATGAGCTGGATGTGGTGGTGCATACCTGGAATCCCAGTGACTCGGGAAGCTTAGGCAGGAGAACCACTTGAACCCTGGAAACGGAGGTTGCATTGAACCAGGTTCATACTACTGCACTCCAGACTGGGTGGCAGAGCGAGACTCTGACTCAAGAAAAAAAAAACGAAATATACATACATACACACACACACACACACTTAATACACATACACATGTACACACACCTTGGCAATCTTTTTATATATCAGCATTCACTGGTACAATGTAAACTCTATGG